TACACCATCATTTTAATGTGATACTTAAACCGGGAAACACTCTGTATCTTATATACAATGTATACAGGCTACGACATACAAATATTAATCTAATCCTTGTGCTACTCGATATTTTCGCATAATAATATACCAATATAACCATTTACTCACATGTTGCGTGTACATATATGTATATGCATATGCATATGCATATATGTATACATATATATATATATATGTATATATACACATATACACATAAATATACACATATACAATATACATATAATAGACTATTTTATACTCGCTTCGTGTTTTACTAATCTCTACGGTATCCCCTCTCTTCCGCGTGTGCGGTAGAAGACTATTGTAATTACGAAAAATCGGCAACACCTTCGATCCAAATGTAACGCTTAAAATGTAAAAATATTTCCGGGATATATCTGTCACGATTGCAAAAGGAAGATGCGGAAATGGGGCATGGATGAGGTGGGAACGGGATTAATCTGGAGGGAGTGTAGGTGAATTCTTTAATAATGATACTTTTTCTATTTCTCTCTCTCACTTTCTCTCCATCTCATCACGCCAAATGTACACATAAAAAAGAAACATGCTGTCGGCTTTCAACGGCAATCTCACGATATCCTGATATCTGCGGTATCCCGCCGATCGTTCATCATATGCAAGGGAATGTCACTAATTGTAAGCGTCACTCGCACTCGAAAAGCTTTCCGAAAGAGAGTCTGCGTAGCGCTATATCGGTTGCGATATGTACATGAATTTGCGAGTTTATGTATGGTCCAGCATTAGCTGGCGTTGTCATCGCGAATAGAACTCGTGGGAAATAAAGAACTAAAAGTATTAAGAGAACATGGAAACATATTGAGCCGTTTTCTTCCATTTTTCTAAAGAAGATCCTTATTATTATATCAATCACTCGACGTTGTTATCCCCGACAAATAGCAATTTCGTTCGGTTGATTCTCTGCAGTAAATCGCGTTAATGACAGATACTTTCCGCCGATTAACTTTCCGGACGCAAGCGACGCTCAACGCTAAACTTGGTTTAAACACAACATGGATCGTTCGTCCTTTTTTACTTTTTTCTTTTTGTTTTTTTTTTTTAGATTAACGGCGCACACTCTCCGAGTGTACCGAGCAAATTCGCGCGTGAATTTGACTCGTGTTTCTATATTATTGTTAACAACAGCAGACTATCAGGTATAACGTAACAGTATTTCCTTTCTCCCCCCGATGTGAGGTACATCGGTCACACTTCGGTGCGTGAATATTTCCAAAGAATCGCCTGACTTTATCAATACAAAAGTGCTGTCAAAAATATCTCTCCCTTACCGGACTTTTTAGTAATAATCAGGAGTCGCGCGAATAGGAAATTCGTGTGTTACCCGGATAATCGCGAGCAACGTTAACCAAAAGCAACGTTAACTAACAAGGGAAGGTAAGGATGGGCGAAATCGATCAATCTGATTTTTGAGAAAATCGATTTTTTGAGAAAACTGATTTTTTTAGTTATTTTTAATTAGACAGATGCTGACACATTATTTTTTTTAATTGTACACTGTGTTAGTACTAGGATACTGATGTTCCACAGAAATAACTCCTCAAACTCCACATACTGAATGAATTATCACAATTATCAAAATTGAATAGCAACTCAAAAATAATCGAATTAATACGTTGAATCTAGTGTGGTACGTACATACCATATTTATTTATTTAGGTGTTGCTCAACTACTGTTCTAGTTGAGCAAAATTCTAAAATTCGTGAACACAAAATATTTGCATAAAAGTTATGAACAAGTAATTGTTTTTTTATCCTATTCATCTTTCGATTCCTTTATTTTATTCCTTATACTTTCAAATCAGATTTTTTTTCACACCTTTTAAATTTTTGCGTGTTTCAAATACTTTATTTCAAGTACTTTATAATTAAAATAACTGATTGTCCATGACAACCAGTAAAACTGATTAGCTAATTAATGCCCATCCCTACAAGGATATCTCTTATAAACTATCTCGAAACATTTCGTTCCTATTTAAAGGGACGCGCTTTAATAATAACAGAGTTATTATTTTGCTCGTTTCTTCGCATTCTCGAAGCATCCTACATCACAAACATCAATGTTGGAAACTACTGTAGTATTCTGAATTTTTCGCCAGATCCAAGTTTTCTACGGATTTGACACTATTTTAACAATTGCACGTATACATCGAAATTAATCACGTACTTTCGTGGGATGTGGCAAAAGAAAAATTGTAAAACCAAAGTAATCTGAAGTTAAAGTTTTAACTCCTAAAATCCACTAAAATCGGATTGTCCCTAAAAGTGATCGCCTGTACGCAACTAGTTTGTAAACAAGGTTATTCCGATAGGGTTACGTTCAGGTTCAAACTTTGTTAGCAAAGTAATTCTAAAAACCACATTAGATATAGGCATATCTCGATGCAATAGCAAAAAACTATTTTATCTCAAACATCTTTTCAGGTACGATCATAATGAACGTATATTTAAGTAACGATTCATGAAATTATTTAATAAAAATAATTAATATTAAAAAATTTAATTTTTTAATTCTTTAATTTTTTTAAGTTTTGAAAAATATAAACCTTGCACTTAAATGCGTATAACTTTTAAACGTCTGAACCGTTAAATCAAAATGTTTACATTGAAAAATTAAATATAATTTTACTTTTAAACAGAGATAAAAATGAATTTTCAAAACTTTAAATGGAATAAACATTTTTTTAAAAACTATAACAATCTCTGAAATATCAAAACTAATAAAATATACAAAATTTAAAATAGCGCTGAAAAGATTATGAAATTTGTATAAATGTTTGCATTTATACAAATCAAGATGACCAAATGTTTTAAAACATATACCTATTACTAAATTAAAATCGCTTTAGAAAATCGTTTAAAACAATCAAATTTAGAAAATAATTTAAAATTTTCCTCATTTATTTATAGACATAATTTTGGCTGTAATGTTTTAAAAGATGATCGTACTTAAAAATATAATATATCATTAGAAAATTTCATTGAAATAGTCTTGGGAAAGGGCAAACTTCCAAGGAATTTGTTGTAGATGTAATTTTGAGGATACAGATGCAAAAATGCGAGTAAATTATATTTAAATAAAGCAGATGTGCAGATTCGTTTATCGTCGTTTCTTATAACATGTTTGTACGAAATTTTTAACTCCTATAACGATCAAAGTCCGGTTATATAAACAATAAGTTTTCGCGATATCGACAGATCCTGGTTTACGCAATATATCTTAATACATAATAATAACCGTTTAATAGAAATATAAACGACTTGAATGCAATTTGTAACCTCGTCATTACACTGACGTGATATTCATTATCATATTGTTTAAGAAAGCTCGCCGGCTTTATATTTCAGGTTCCATTCTCTTGAGATAATCTCTTCTAATTAGACAATTGAAGGAGCAAGTAAAAGAAAGCAATATATAATATGTCGATCATTGTTTGATTGCCTTTACCTCGAGTCAATTGTCGCAGTAGCAAAATTTCGTGCTGTAGGCAGATTCTCGATCTATGATTGAGTTTCAACAAGAAGTATTAAACTGACTATCACTATCGTAATAACGCGAATTTTTATTCATAAAAATATCACTCTTTCTTTGTAGAAGAATGTGATGTATATCTTGTTCATCTACTTGCTCCTTTGATTTTAATATTTCGAGTTTCGATGTGTTCTCGAGCGCGCGTAGACTCAAACAATATAAAAGCCCGGCAAAACGCCTATAGGACATTTAAACGCGACGTTCTATCAAACACTCGCGCAAAACTGACGAGCAAAATGCTCGGGATCGTCCTGGAAAGAACGATCAATTTTACTTGCGGTATAATATCGCAGATCCCGTGTCACCGCACCGGGCGGTAATGAGGCGGACACGGATAAGAAAATGGGAAGGAGGGATGGAGAAGAAGAGGTTGAGAAAATAAGAAGAATGGCACCTGATGTACCCGAAGAGGCTGCCCGATTTCGCTACGACGGAAGACTGAGTTTTCAGCCCGTAGCCATTTGCTGTGTCCCTCCTCTTGCGGATGCGGCCGCCGTCGATGCGATTATTAATTTCTGCTCGAAACGCTTGACAGATTCGCCATTGTACTAGTAATAATGATAATTCACCACTGCGTTGCTCGTTAATACGCAATGATAGCTCAATAACAGGTAATAACGAGAACATCTCGGATTCCTAATTGTGATTAACACGTAATCGGCACTGCTCCCCGACGACCAGCGTCGCTAAGAGCACTCCGCGCGATGCAAAGGAGGATATTGTACAGTCGTTGATGGATACGGGTTGGTGGGTACTCTTGTCGAGATCAGTTGCGATCGGATGAAGGATATCGAGCAAAAGAAAAGAAAAAAAGAGTGGTTTCGTTAACGTAACTTTGACGGGTAACGCATCCCAGGAGGGGGGAAAAACCTGTCCGACAGAATATCATTTATCGTCGATCAGGATAAGCGTGTCCTTTACTCGGGCTTCAAGCGATGCCATTGCACGATGGTCTGCCTCGGCTTTGTAATCATGTCCTGCCAATGTTTCGTTTCGCTCGCGCCACTTCCATTTTTTCCTGCAAAGGAAGTTACACCGTACATTACCGGATACACCGGATTCCAATTTCAATCTGCTATTTGTTTCTATGACATTTAATTACAACAGTTACTTGACTACGCATTGCAATGTTACTTTAGCGCAAAAACGACTTTGAATTTCAAACATTAAACATTTTTTCAGACAAAATATAACTACTAAAATTTTGGATAGTTCAGGTCAACCCAAACGTATGATATGTCATAATAATAAATATGTACTGTGTAACTCAATTAGCCTGACAGTCTCTTTTAAAAAACTAATAATAATCATGAAAAAACAATAAAATATTATTATTATCCAAATTTGAATCTATTCTCACACACATGTGATATTCAGAAATAGTAAAATCGAACAGAAAACTATAGATATTTTGAAACGTATTATTTTTAACTACCTCCGTTAATTATAATTAAAAAGTTTAGAATCTCAACAATTCAGTACTTTAAATATAAATCTATCGATAGAACTGAGGCACAGAAGGCACTTATATTTAGAGATACGTATTGAAAAGTTTAAAATACCTGCGAGCTGAATCCGACCAATCAGTTCGTTTCGTCCAATGTTGTCGAAATCCATCACCATTACATCCAAAGAGCACTCTCTGATTTTCTCCCAAGGTACATTAAAGGAGAATACCTCGTTAAATACAGGATTTAAGGTGCATTTGAAAATAGGAGTCTTGCGTTTCTCGATCCTCTTGTCGCCAAACTGTAGCCATACCTTGACGTACGGATCTAGAATTGTAAATATTTAATTACCCATTCAATTTCTCATTCTCTCGATAAAAAGATGTAATAAAACGTGTTATTGTGCAAGCGTTGCGATGCAATTTAATTTAAAAAAAATTATTAATACACACAACAGAAAATATATTTTACATTTTTTTTTTTAAGTGCGTTTATGTTTCAAAATGTAATAATTATGTAAATTCTTCAAAAGTGTTCATCGAGTGCCTTAGTTTATCATAATACCAGAGAATTCACAAACAATACGATGAACGTAACATTACCTGATTTTCCGTTAATATCCTTAGCTTTGAGATTCCTCGCCTTCAAAAGAGTCAACGTCAATATGGAATTACTCGGATGATAGCATAGCGAGCATAAGAGTTCTCCACATTTATCTTTAGCTGGCGGCTTAAGAGCTTTCCAAAACGATGGTTTCTCGGATAGATCGACCTACAATAAACAAACCCACGAGATATTGCTGATAATTAAAGTTGCGTAACAATTGTCGAACTAATTAACAAACCAAATTTCAAATACAGAATTTAACATAAAGACAGGAAGGATTATAACAAGAATTTCTCTATTATATATGCGAGTATTAACAAACTTTAATTAATTTTCATTAATTCCATAGCTAAACAATGTGCAGAATCATGAACATATTCAGAAATAATGAAATCAAAACAGAAACGAAAAGTTCTTCATGCACATGTGCTTTTCTTTGTGCTTCTTTCTTTCTCACTCTCTGCATATCTTTATTAAACATTATACTCTTTAGGAGAGCATTTGCCATATTATCATTAATACGTTCGTCACGTTTGTCTGTTATTAGGGTTATTACAGCGAATGCGAGATAATTAGTATTCTGCTCGGAGTGATCACGTGCGGACTTAATAGTTAATTGATATCATATGTTGCAAATTACAAATGCAAAATTTTTGCAGCATAAACATATCCCGAATTACATGAATTATATGTCACGCTTCGCATGATACAAATTGATCATTTGGAGCTCGCTCGCAGTCTCGCTCTACAGTCAGAACTGTTTAAACAAAAAGAAAATTATTTGCCCCAGATTACAACATATTATTACTATTGTTATTACTATTAACAAATTGTTTTATTATGACGTTATGTCATAAAATATCCTGTATAATATTAATCTTTTCATATATACGTATTTATAAAATATATAATATTAATCTTTATATATACATATACTATGCGACGGCAATGCGTGAGATTCGTGCAACGACCATTCGCAACGCTAGCATATATCATGAATTGCTCCTGGGAAATGAATGTGTGCATAGGATAGAATTATCACATGCGTATGTCCCCCGGTGTTATTGTGCGCGCAGATTAATCCACTACTCGATAGATCTTTGGTAATATCGATATCAAGCAAGAATTATATGATATATAGTTATGTTGTCCCCCCACACAATTAATATATTAAAAATTATTTTTGTTTACGAAAAAAAAATATTCATTAAAAATTCGGCCGATTTTTTTAAATATTTTCAAGAATTTAATATATTGCAGACGAAATTCTATTTTTTTAATAAACTTACAAACAAATCTATATATAATTTATAATTTAAAGAAAAATTTGTTTTTATAGATTTGATATTTTTTTATATAAAATGTTTAAGAATACATTTTAATACACAAATGAATTTAACAAATGAATATCCAATATTCGAATAAATAAGATATTCTTGTACTGCATTGCAGTATGTAAATATGAAATATTTTAAAATAATAGTTATATTGTTATTTGAATGATATATTTAATAATGCTTTTATTATAATAGCCATTTAATGTCTATTTAAATACACATCTGTATATTCGATGGCTATATCTAATTAGTGTTTCTTTAAACACAATTATTCTAAAATATTATTACAAATATTACAAATATCCAACTTGTAATTTTACTTTATTTTATGATTGTTTTACTATTTTGTTACTAATAATTAAAATTTCAAGTAATGCATTTTTCGGATCTTGGAAGTTTTTGTCTGAAACAGTTAATGCAGTGGTCAATTCATTTGAATAACAATTCTTGATGATAGATTTGTTTTTTCTTAAACGATAATTCCACGATAGCGAATCATAATTACAAGATAAGGAGATTCAAATGCCGATAGATGCAAAACGAGAGACGTGACATGTGCAACACGTCAGATTCCACTTATCCGTTGTGAATTCTATTGCCATAGGATGCGAATCTCTTAATCCGCATCTACCGCGTGTAATAATTGAACCGCACAATTTGCGAGCAGGCACGTCTCGTCAAATTACCTGGCAAAGCGGCAGAAACATTTCCCCTATGGAATCATCCCTCGAGAATCGATCATAGTCGAAGACGTGTAGATGTAATACCCTGCTCTGCAGCTTCTGTATGGGAAAACCTGGAGAAGAGAATCGACACATAAATATGTATATTTTGCTATATCACGATAACATTGTTGACTGATCCAAATTTAATTACACTTTATTTACACGACAAATGTTTCTTTTTTTTATAATTTGTAGTCTATCTTTTACTATCAAAATATTGCGTTGGCGGTGAACTAATATTTCGACGTAATTCCTCATTCACAAAGAAAAATTAGATCTATTCCAATTTTTATCTCGCAGATCTAATCTTGAGTAGAAGATTGTATCAGATTGCTTTGTTATTTTCAGATTGTTACAATACGCTGTGATTTCTTTCCTTAAACCGGCTTAATGCAATCAAATACAATGTCGCTGTCTTATACCCACCACACTGCACGAACTAAAATTGCTTTGCATTTATTTCTTTCCCCGCGTTTACCTTTGGGAAAAAGTTAGCGGACCAATGCGAGAAATGTTCCCGAACGTGCGCTTACCTTCGAAATAGAACGTCTCGTTCCATCTCGGATTCAACGTGCGCCTTTTGATTTTTGTCTCGAGTCGGTGTTTCTTATCCGGTAGCAGCGTTACACGTACGTACGGATCGGAAGTGCCTGACAAGTCCTTCGCCGGCAGATCTTTACCCTAAAGAAAATTAGATATCAGTATCAAAGGGTGAGGGCGGAATTTTAATCCTCCACGAATCAGGTCAGGTGAGGTGTAACATACCTTAGCAAGATGAATTTTTATAACTTCTTAAAAAGTACCGCGCATGTTGCCAATTTCGTGCAACTGGAGAGTATATATACTTATCAATTTATTACCATACTAAAAATTAAAGTACATTTATGATGAAGTATAGCATGAGATATATCCACATATGATCTATGTTGATTTTTCACCTGGTTCACGGAGAGTTAAAGAACAAAGAACTTTCTATGGTCCCTTAAGCTTCCCACGATTACGTGGGATATGTACATTTTCATGTACTTTCACGATAAGTCCTCTTACGGAAAGTGAAGTTCGATGTAAATCTCTCTATACATACAATTCTACGCGTGAAGCCTGCATAATGTTATAAACAAAGCTGAATCTTTCACTCGATTATATGCACCTATAACAGCATAAAGTGGCCAAAATTCTTTCAGAATTATGAGCGAATGAACAGAAGAAGAAGGAATACTCGAAAAATAGTAGTATCTTTAAAAAGATATGAAAAGAAGACAGGAAAGTGATGACACTTGATCCGCTTTGAGTAATATGACTCGCAATATTTCAAAATAAAAAAAAAAGAACATTTTATTCCATACGTAGCGTACGTCAAAATGAAAATGTGCAGTATGTATGGCGTTGAAATCCGCGGCTTTATTCATATTTATATGCATAGCTATTGTTTCGTTCAAAATATTATAGAACATACGCATTTGTCTACCGAAGGAGATATATGTCTTTGTTTCCGTTGCATCTTACAAAGCTCTCATCTAAGTCTCCGAAACTTGTATGTGTAAGAGAATTTACAGAGTTCACGGTGTACGTGCAACAGCCACTATGATAGAACTATAAGTATCGTCCTGAGACAGATTGTGAGCATGTGAGCAGCCCTTGTGTATGCGCAGCACAGTCGATACTGTTAATGGGAACTACATAGACGGGAAACAAAATCAATAACCGCCTTTAACGACCTTGATGGCTGCCTGTGTTTTGAAAAATAAGTCCTGCCTGAAAGTGTGTTCTCTTTCCAACTTTTCGCAATGGCTCGTTTAAAAAGTCGTTCGTGGCCTTGAAGGCATTTATGCCAGAGGTGTACGGTCATTTTTCATTTAGCTGTCAGACCGTTTCTTGGAACTCCATAACGTCATTATGCCGACTCAAATTTCTCGCGTAGAACAATTCCGTGCGATTTAAAGTGCCGCAAAACTTTACAAACTTCGAGATTACGACATGGAAATTAAAAAAAATGCCCATTTAAGAAAAGAATTCCCGCGCAAACGTGATTGCGAAGGTGTTCTTTTTTATTTACGAACCATTAAAGATAAATTACATTTTGTCGATTAAATCATTCATTGCCGATTAATCTTTATTTAATTTCAAGTTTTACACACCTAACCGAAATGTGATATACAAAATATTATTTGATGTTGATAATTGAAACGAAAAATTAAAAGATATAAAAGGAAAGAAAGAGCTCGATTAAATTTCCGCTAAGGAAAAGTCGATTTTTCACAAATTGACAAAATTTCTAACTATACATATACGTTTGTAACTTCATGATGTGTGCTTTACACGAGTATTTCTATACGAGATATTTCTACCTTCGAGTTTACAAATTACGAAGATATTGAACGTGAATGGAATAAACGCGATGTCTTTGATGAACGCTTGGTTGAACATTTCGAGGTGTCGCGACAAATTTTCACGCCATCAAAGACATGAGGGAGCTCGTAAAAATAGGAATTTTTAAGGTCGGAAGTATGTTTCCGCTTTCATCGCAGGTCTATTCCGGGTCATTTATAATGCGCATTAGTCACAAAAAATATATTTTGAATGAAATTAACCGAATAGTCTGGAAAAACAGAGATATACCTCGTGAAAATCTCGTCGTGCTCGCGTCAAATTTCGCAGAATTAACGAGATAATGTGGAAAATAAAAACAGTCACACTTTTAATAGTTTTACAGACATAATTTGACGCGCTATTAGAAATACATATAATAAAAAACAAATTGTAATACATCAAAGTACTTTATTAAATAATTCAACAAATGATTAAATATTCGTTAAAGAAAAGAGGTCGGATGCAAATTGAGTGAGAAATAAAATTTTTACCGGTATACTTCTTTGATAAACTGTACGATAATGCTACGCGCAATTTCATTACAATTTTTTTTCATTAAAAGTGGCATATAGTTGTATCCTCGTGGCACGAAGAAATTAATATTACATTTTCGTAATAATAATGTAATTTCACATGTCTCTACGGAATGAAAAGTAATTACATGTTAAAGCTTCAGATACAACGCATTAACATAAAATTTGTGTGCACCAATGCATATCGATGTGATCACATAAACGATGCACTTCGTACTTAGAAAGATGTTTTCTAACTACCGAGATCTTGGCACGATAATTTTCACCGAGGAAAACAAAGAAAAGGATGCCCGAGTGTTTCGCTTAATATCGGATTAAATCGCGCGAGGCGAAAACGGTTCAGCGTTTGGAAAGAATTTATGCGTTTGTTTACAACAAACCTCGTCCCGTTGAACATTTCAATTTCCCCCCTCTCCCCCCTCCCCCCCGAGATTGTCGACGAGTTTCAAAAGTTCCCCTTTCTCTCTGTTGTACTGTAACAGGAAGTGATGTATGACGTATCCCAGTTTACCAGGATACATATTTTCGCGCACGTACATTTTTCGGCGTGGCAACGCGAGTCCCGTGTTGACGATTTATAACAGCCCTTATCGACGTAGCCGTGGCGTAGTAAAACCAAAAATCAAGCTAATGGGCCCATCTACATTCCGGTTTTACGTTTCCACAGCCTGTGCCGGAACACAACCGTCGACAAAGACAGAAATGCGCATATCAATTTATTTACGTAATTTTGTTTACGTAACACAGTTATACGCGGAGTGGCTCGAGAAAATCATTTTATATTTTATTTCTAAATATTTTTGTTCCGTACTTTTTGAACTCTCAATGCGGACGTCATTAATCGGGGAAAACGGTCGATTTACCCGCATCGGCAATAAGAATTTATCAAATTTCAATTTTATTAATATTTATGTAGATTCAAAAGTTTGCAATTCGAGAATATAAAAAAGATAATAAAATGAAATAACCATTTTTATTTCTTCTATAATCACTTTTTATTTCAATACGTTTTTTTAGAATAATTAAATTTTTTATACTGCTAAAAAAAATATTCTGAATTTTTGTCCTTAAAATAGTTCAACACTGCGGAGATCACTTCTCCATCACTAGTAAATTTTTTTCCATGTAAATCGGACTTCAATTGTGAGAATAAAATAGTTTTGATAATAAAAAATAATTTTCAAAATTGAAATCCGATTTGCATGGAAATAAATTTATCAGTGATAAAATAATAGTTACAATATTATAAATCGTTTTAAAAAGAAAAATTCACAATATTTTTTAATGATACAGAAAAATGGATATAGATAAAGGATGCTTATAATGAGATGCTTAAATTATATATATAAATGGATGTATTATTTTATCAATCTTTTTCCATTCTTAAACTGGAAACTTTTTGATCTTATCACGTTATATATTAGCTCCTTATATTTTATATAAAATTGCATCGGCATGATGATGTATTATTACCCTCTCCTACTGAAATGGAATGTTACAATCGACGAGTGCGTCACACGCAAACACGGCGATATCGAAGCAAACGGCTAGCAAGCATATTTCAAAGAGCTAAGTTCCCGGAGGGAGCATCCATGTACGAAACTTCGACTGACCTGTATGATGCGCAGAATGAGCGTACTGTTCTGAAAATCGTACTCGAGACTGAAGTGAATCTGGCCAACATTCTCGCTCGGTTCCGAATTATCAATGTACATATCGACTAAGGAGATGGACCTGCTCTGTAGAAATGCTTTCTGAAACACATAGATCGTCGAAGCTATTATTACTATCGCTTCCTTTTAGTTAGTGAAAGATTCTCGAAATTCTTATCAAAATATATTTTGCTAAGAAGAATATGTACAGTTAGAGAAAAAAAGAAAAAGAGAGATAATTTGTACTAAAATGTAATCTTCTTAAAATCATATCACAAGAAAAAGGTTTGAAACAGAAAGAATTAACTGTCATTAAATATCACATTTGTCTCCAACACGTGAAAATTTATCTATCTCTCTATCAAGCTGCAGTGTGTACAACTTAATTACATCGCAAGAAACATAAATACATTTTATTGTAATTACAGATCCAGTTTCTACATTAAATAAAATTGTGTCACTTATACGTTATTGCAATTAGTCTCAATTTTACTTTTAGAACGCAACATCGTGACAATCTCCAATTATATACAGAGTTAATAGCAATTGCATTTTAATGATTACTGTTTTAGCTTTGAAAAATAGTCCTTCATATAAATATTTTAGATAATTATAATGTTTAAATTAAAATCTATCTAAAAATTTCTAGTCCAAAGATATAAAAAAGTAATAAAATGAAGCATTTTTATTTTTCAATATAATCACGTTTTACTTCAATATATTTATCTCAGAAAGTAAATTTGAGTAAATTTTTCTGTATCTTCTTTGTCATTGATAAATTTTTTCCATGAGAATTAAATTTCAATTTTTTAAATAAAAAAATAATCACTAGAGAGAGATCATTATAAAATAAGTGATGTCTCCACAATGTTAAATTATTTTAAGGATAAAAATTTTTAATATTTTTTGGTGATATAGAAAATGAATTCATCATTTCTAAAAAATCTATTGAAATAAAAATTATGTCAAAAAATTTTAAACAGTTGTTTTAGTTTACAATCTTTTTTATATCCTTGAACCAGAAATTTTTGAACTTTGTTACATATAATTCGCATTAAAATTTGAGACAGGATCTTGTGCCACATAATGTAAAGTACATTTTCCATAAAAAAAAATTTTTTAATTACATGAAATATATATAATAAAAATAAATATATACGGCATATATTATAATACATATTATAATATATGATATATAAAGTTACAAGTAGAATTTCATCCCGAAATTTGAGGTGGCAAATAGATTGTATGAGCGGTCTTCGAGATTACCTCGTTATCATGATATCCGCGTCATCGAAGATCAGGATGAACTTTAGAGGGCTTACCGAGGGATGTTCTCCTTTGACATTCTGCAATTGCTTGTTTTGTGGCCCGGCAGTTGGTGTACGGGGTTCTACGCTTCCGGCATTGCTGGCGCCGCTTCCTGGTGCCGCTGTTGCTCCTGCTACACCGCTCGCGGGACCACCGCTACCACCTGCCGGAGATTTGCTAGAGGGACTACCGGTCGTCCTGAAAAAAAAAAGACGCCAATTCATCACATTACATCATCCACGTGCGCATTCACTTCCGATATGACAATTTTTTTTTTCCTCTTCTCATCTCTTCTATCACTTTTAAACAGAGTGTCATCGCAGGATCTCCTGGGACAGCGTTGAAGAGATACCGAAGACATTTGACAATGTTTATTCGTTTTATTAGTCTTCAAAATCTAATTATTGTCACCAAAAGATTTAGATTTCAAATTTTTATGCAGATATTTTTTACAGCATGCACAAAATATGCAAATTTGCAAATATGCAAATATGCAAATATGCACAAATAAATATACATTTTAATGAGACAAATATATTTTTGTTACTTTCCAATCTGTTTTTTAAAAAAATATAAAATTGCATAAGAATCCGATGTCTACTTATAATTGAACGTAGCTTGTCTTTATTGTATCATTTTTTACGTAATTACTAGAAAGAGTCAGTCTTTCATTCTCGTCATTATTTTTTGTTTCTTTTTTTCTTACAAAATTCCTTTTAAGACATAGATCTAATCTCTCTACAAACAGATATTTCAGCTTTCATACACACCATGATTTGTTTTATTATGTTGTATTACTTGTGTTATAATTTCATACTTTGAGAATATTAAATATTTAATCAAATTAAATATCCAATTGATTAATCCAGAATTACGAAGCGTGGAAATTACGCGATTGTTCAATTTCGACCTATGCAAGCTGCACATTTATACAATTAAATCTGTCGCCCACAATTGATTTTGACAATTGCTCGCCATACGTTTTATTTTACATACAATGTTAAATTAATATGAAAGTACGAAGAAATAACGAGATAAATATTGTCATTATAACGAAGTTAACGCTTTATAGAAACACCTGATTGATTCGAAACTTGTTGACAATTAGAGGGAATGGGATTCTTGTTGGTTCCCTCCTCCCTCTGTGATGCATGCACAGGCTTATCAACAGTGGCGTACATACATCCCAGCGATACGTTTCTGTAACGTACGTTAGGCATAATAGGCGACCTAGGATCTAGATAAATCTTATCGCTCCGACTACTGTGTCGCATCTACTGCGAGCACACTATGCTGCTAATCGAGACAGCATTCTCTCGCAGGCACGCAAGCCGATACGCTTCCAGCATGTCATCGGCTTATTAATAGTTGCTGTTTACCAGTCGCAACTGCGGAGCGTCCATAACTGTGCAGAAACGGCTGAAGCCACGGCAGGAAAAAAAATTAATTTATTGCATGAACATTATAAAAAGAAAAAAAAACAGGAAAGAAAAAAATCGATGCAAGTATGCAGGTTTAGAAGCTCGGTATGGAGCTAATGATCTTGTCTGTTCTACAAAAAGAATAATCGCAAGTCTGACAAAATAAAAAGGAAGGTAATTACGTCATCCAGTAATATGGAGATGCTCTTATTAGATAAGTATACAGATCGAAGTATACAGATTGTATGTAAGATGCGCTCAAGCTCCGTGAATATATAAATCACGTAAAACATTGAAGAATAACTATTGATACGTACCTATGCAAGTTAATATATAGGTATATTGATATAAGTTGTATATCAAATTCTGAGATGAAATGAGTAAAAACTATTTTGCTAATTAGTCGATAATATAACAAATGCGTTGTACGTTTGTTAATATTATATTAATCAAATTTGTTATACCCGTTCGCATGCTTTTCTATATGAGCTCCAATTTGTGCAGATACACATACTTAAATAATCTGCAAATCTATTACATCATTTGTCAACGTAACCGATATCCATGTTGTTCGTACAAAATGCAAAAATGTAGTCCCGTGTTTTTTATGTATTCGCAGAAATCAATCACGTCATTGAACAGTAACATCTATCTCTCGCTTGTGTATGAAAGGGAAAAATATACATTCGCATAAATTCTTTTTATCCGATTAAAGCTCTCATGCAGATATATTTTACCAGATCGGCGAGCTCCCTTATTTACCGCGATTCTCTATTCATAACTCATAAATAAGAATGAGAAAAAAAAATCCGCGTGAACGAAGAGTATCCCCGATATATAGGAAAGTACATCGTGCAATACCTACGATAACAGCATAAATTCAAATCACCATGGCGTATCGATTGATTAAAAAAAAAATTCAACTTCGCGCAAGATTGGTTTCACATTTCCCTAAATGTTATAGGTAACTGCGAAAAAAAAACTACATTTCAGCGGAAAATATGTTTAAATAAACTACGAAAATTTTTTGCTAATATTGACGAAATGCTTGTTTCCTCGTCCTATATCACTGACTAATATCTGTTGAGTGTTTAAACAGGTCTACATGAAAATTAATGCTCTGCCGGCGTTTTATATTCCGATATAGAATAAGTTCGGTAAGATGATACACGTATTGAATTTACGAGAAATTGAATAAAAAAAATATTAAAAATTAAAAAATATTAAAACATAATTCTTATAAAACTAATTTTCTCATCTCGTTTTGCATTTAATTAAAATACATATTCGCATAATTGTCTCGTTCAATAATAAAATCAAACAAATTATATACTAATTAATTTTGATAATTATATTCCCGCGTTATTATTTTAAATCTAATGGAATATTCCAAAATATTAAAAATATAATATTAAATTATAATATTTATATTAAAATATTTATATTAAAAGATCAAAAAGACATAACGATTCCCAATTTAGTTTTAAAATAGCTAAAGGTTTAACATTAAAAACATAACATAACAGAAATAATATTACAGGGATAATATTACAAAATTTTATATTGCAGACATTCTCGTTTTTAAAAATATGACTTTGTGTTAAAAATTTCGGTTTTATCGGTAATTGCAAATTCTGATTCGCTGTAATTGCTCGATATTGTTTCAATATTACGGCCAATTCTCAATAACTACGCCATGAACGATAATTACCGTAAGACGTCGGCCCGTTTGATCAATATATACCTCTGGGTAAACAGGAAACTTGAGCATACAAATTTGCCTCGATACCGCTTCATAAACCGTCTGGACGCTTGTGTCGGCGCACGAGAGAATTTCGGAGAGAACCTGTAATTCGAACTAACGCGGCAAGCAAACGCGACATTTAAGCGCATTTGCAAAAGGTTAAGGGCATACAATAGGTAAATCGTACCGGGCGATAACGGAAACGCCTGCGACACGTTATTTTCAGCCGTGACTCGACAACACGTAACTAGAAACCGTATAGGACCGGTGCCGAGCGGATGCACAGCTGGAGAGGCTCATTGTATTCAGCTCGAGTGAATGGCGACCGCGCACTCGCGGAACTAAGTTTTATGAGAATAGTGTAGCAGAAGTTTCACCGCGGCTGTGTACTCATATTTATCAGAACACCTGCTGCGTATAAATAGCATAATGCGTGAACTTGTATTCAAAAATTCTGAGCTTAAGAGAGGCTAACGCGTAATGAGGAAATCAGGTCTGGAAAATCAACGGAAATCAAATTTATCTATATACCTCTATCACAATTAATTTCGCCTCAGATTACTTAAACCTAAAATAAAAGTATGGAATCATTATAGCGAATTCTTTTTGAGATTTTTACATTTTTTCTTACTTCGTCTAATTATAAGCGAGATTTTATACTGAATAATTCTATTGATACATGCAACATCTTCCTTTTTTTTTTTCTAGTGAAACATACAATCGAGTGATGTTGACTCGAAGTTAAAAAATATCGAAAAACTGTATATCCATGTAATACTAACAGCGAACGTTTATGTTGTAAATGCTGTTAGTTCGACGTCGCTGGCTGTATAAACAAGATCTTTTGTATCTATTCGATAGCAGGCGTGTATTAACGTATGTATCGTGTGTATTTGTGCAGGCGAACAATAACAGTTCCAGAATAAAGAATAAGGTAAATCCAGTGGTGATCCGCGCACGCAAACACCGATCGAACTGAACATCCTCGAGCAGAAAGCGCTATCACTACTAATAGTAGACTGTGAGAAATACTTGACAGTATAGTAGCAGACAGGCATAGAAGACGGTAGTTCGAAAAGTAGAGACTGTGGAGTTTGTCGTAAACACAACGCCGACTACAGACAAGACAAACAGCGTCGCGTAGTAGTCATCGATGCTCATCGACAGGCAAGACAAAAGAAGCTGAACGAGCTTCTTCAACGAAGTAGAACTACTTACACAGTTAAAGTAGCACCGATCGTGGGCAGTGTAATCCGTTAGAGAAGAGAAATCGGAAGAGAAGATAAGAAGAGAAGAGATAAATGAAGCGCAGCATAGAAAAATGAATCGTTTATTAAAAGTGTCGCATTTTATTTCGCACAGAGGTCGTTCATACTTACTCTAATTGCGCTCTGCGGTTCCGATTGCATTACAGTGAAACGAGGCATGAAACAGAAAAAGATCAGTGATTAATTAATTAACTGGACACACGTATACATACAGGCACACGCCGCACGACGAATGTATGATACAGTTTGTTACATCGGACAGAGGAGGATAAAGGAGCACCAATTCGGAGAGACAACACACAACATTAAAAACGTCGTAAAAAATATCTCTTATAATTTCAAGTTACGAACGAAGAGAATCACAAAGAAGAAAAGAAAAAAATGCGTGCACTGACACATTCAAGAACGGTTCTCGACATAGAATCCGTATTGTCAGTCTCAATAGACAATGCAATAGTGAGAAACATCGTCGAGCAAACGCTGCAGCAAACTGCAGTTAACGAAGTGATAATATCTTCCAACGTTAACCCGGGCACAAAGAAGTTTCAGTACCCAGAATGCTCGGAGTTAATTGCCGTCTCTCTTGTTAAAAATGGAAACTTAAGTAGAAAGAAAAAGGATTCGTAATAATGTTATTAAGTTATGGCCGTATATTTCCCTCTTCGTAATTGTGCTATGTAAAATTACTGTTCAGGTTGCTATTTTGTAGAGGTTGTCAGTGGATAATCTGTAAATAATAATGTCGACCATCGATAATAATTACATCAATTATTTCAAAATTCATTTTCATTGTCTTGAGCCTTTCAGCTTAGGGAGTATAAAGTTTAATCAAACTCCTATGAGTATGTATAGATATATATATATATATAAAACTTTGCACATGATGTAAGTAAGAAATTCTTATTTATAATAATGGTTAATATAATGAGAATCAAAAAGGAATATCTCATATTAATATCATATTATTCATTTATTAATATAAAATTATTATCTTTTCAGAAAAAGAATAAGGTATCATGTAGAGCATATTAATGAATCTGTTATAAGCCGCTATTGTTTATTATATTATCGTAGTTATTAATAATATTAAAATTTCAGATTTATTTAAATCTCTTCAAAGTCCAATAAAAATATGTGAGATTAGCAATATAACTAGTAAAATTACAAACGGGTTGAGAGAGAGAAAACGTTTAAAAAAAGAAGCTTCTAATTTTTTTTAACAAGAATATATCGTTATTTTTTCATATTATGCATCCGTGTATCGATTAGATAGGGCCATTAACTCGTTTCTTATTAGAGTATATCATCCTTTATGATCACAACCACGAAACGCCTATCGATATTCAATAGCCACATTTGACTTCGCATTATTGCGGAATTATACTGTATGTACATATATATACATATATATATATATATA